AATTATAATTGATTGGCTATTTAAATAAAAAAATTTAACATGTATTTTTATTAAAAATTCATAAACTTTTATATAATTTAAAAATCTTCAAATTTACTATATATTACTAAGTAAAATTTATAAAATCCGGTAATTTATTATAGGGCAGTATAGAACGATAAATGGCTTGTTAGGTAATTTCTAGAATATTAAAGAATCTATCAGAATTTATTAATATTTTAAGCATATTTTAAGATCATTTCGTAATAGTCAAAAGAATATTGAACAAGAACTTATAAAAATTATACAAAATAATACCGTTTTAGATGAATTAACATCTCATGTCAATTAAAATCAACACTTTCGAAAGAGTCTTGAAATATTAAAGTTTAATGATTCAGTTGAAAGTCTTTTTCAATATACTGATGAAGACTATCAGACATTTCATTTATTATCATTAAATATAGAAGAAGGCGTAGCTTTTAGTATTGAACCATTTTCTGATTCTTTTTTAGGTCTATCGAAAAAAAATGTATCATTACAGCAAGATGTTCAGCTTTTATTGGTAGATTTTTATTGTAATACATACAATAAAATTTTATCACATTATCACATATTCACAATGCTTTGGGTGAATCTATTCCTGTTCTTCTGACAGTCAATCAATTTAGCTGATTAAAAATTGGGATGGAAGTATTTGAATCAATATTGTTTTCTCAACATTCAAAATCAGCAAAGATTTTAACACGCTTTATTTTAAATGATAATACTTCTGATATATATCCCGAACAAATCCAATTTTTTTTTGAGCATACTATTTGGTTACCAGAGGGTCTTAAGACGCATTATTTAGCTTTTGTAAGATGGTATAAGCCAGCTAAAAGTTACAAGATAAGATTTCATTGTAAAGTAGATAAAGATGATTGTAATATCGAATTGTGAGATTAGAATTTTATGAAATGCGAAGGGATTGTATCATTCCTATACACAATATCTTATGTCGATTTGTTTCAGGATGCTTTGAAGTAAGGCAAAAAAATCTAAGAAAATACATGTCAGTTATTTTAATAAACAGGAAATTTCATATTGTATGTGTGAATTTTTTTTCTTTGCTTTATTGTTACATTTTTTTGGTATTACATATTGTTATTGGTTACATACTTATATATTGTTACATTTTATCTTATAGTAAGTACTGACATAAGTGTTATATTTTCAGATGATATAATTGCTTATATTTTAGGTTAAATCATCATGAGAAAATGTTAACTAGACGTTACAATTTCTACTTATATTTTAATGAAATGCAATATTTATATTATAAAAAAATTGTTTTTTAATTAAATTTTCAGCTTTATTACAATAAATACAATATATAAATGTTTATATATTTTCATTATATTTTATCGACTGAGTTGTGAAAATGATAATTAAAAAAAAATTAATTTAGCGCAATACATCGGAATATATTAAATCACTTGATAAGCCTATGAAACATAAGACCTATCAAGTGATCTGATAAAATCCTGGAACTTACCTAATTTTCCTTTTAAATATCAGGTCATATAGCTAAATATCATATGATAATAGCTATCCAAAGCTTACCTGATATGGCTAAATCAAGTTTCGGCAAATATTAATTTTAGTTTTACTCTGATATTTGTCTAAAGTCTTATTACCTGATATTTTTTCATCTAACCTGTGATATATGATTAGTTGCTTGCCACCAGGATTCAAATTTATTCAGCTTGCAACTAGAGTATCTTTTCTAAATGTAGCATGATTTGAACTATTATTAAAGACAAATGCTGCTACACAATTTAGATACAACGTCTCAAAAATAGAAATAGCTTTACATTTGATTTGTTCAAGAAGGTGTTCAGCTGTCTAATAACCTTCTTGATTTTTATCAGATTTTAAATAATACTCTGCTTTTTCAGGTATATTTGAATTTTGCAATATATTGGTTTGTTGTAAACACAAATATCTGTTAATCTTAGTAAGAAACTCACTAACCATTATAGATCTTTCATTTCCTTATTTTCATAATAGTAGTTCTTTATTTTTAGTCTATACTTTACGTTTACCATCATTAGAATAAAAAATGCATTTATTATGAGTTACAAAAATTTGTTATTTTTCTCCTTCAGACAAATTAGGATATATACGTTTCATTGTTTCACCTTCATACTTAAACATATATTTCTTATGTTTAAACATTTTTTCTAAAAATACTTTGTGATATTATAAATATCATCTTGTTCGTGTCTATCATAATATATACTTTGATGATGTTTTGAAATAAATAACCAAAGATATTAAGCCATCTCATTGCAGTCATTAAAGAAATAGAATTTTTCTTAGTAACTTCAATATTAGGTATAGTCGTACCTCTATATAGTCATACAGTTATGTGCACAAAAATGGTTTGCTTATATTGATATATGACTGTATAGAGGAAACCTTGAAGGATTGGTAATCCTGGCTTAATCTGTAAGGTGTGCATCCCTATTGTAGGTTACACTGTAATAGTCACAGGTTTAGACCTCAGCTGAGGCATAAAATTAGATAATTTTCATAAGAATTTCATATGTAACTGAACACGTGAGCATTTAAACTAATAAACGTTAAATACTGGTCAATCGATCTGTCGATTGACGTTAATCATGCTTAAATACTGAGTTTGAAGAACATGTGAATGCAAATGAAACCAGTGATCGACAGAAACTTAGCCTTCGCTAACAAGTCTGTAATGGATACTGTCTCACATCTTCAAATTCAGAGACCTTTAAACAAGTAAGGAAGTGATTAACCAGTAATTAGTAGATTTGGGTTTACTGCAAGAGAGCGAAAGTGTCTAAGGTAATAATAGACTGCATTGTACGTTGCAGTACCTTCCAAATTGAATCATCACTAGGGTTAGAAGCTGAGTTCAATTCTCAGGTGAATTTGATGCTATGGGTACAAAACCACTATCTATGTAAAGAATCTGATCTCACAGTTTCGGTAGTCATTAATAGGGTAAAACCTTATAAATTAGATTGGTAAAAATAGGGCCTGACAAGCTCTATGGTTGAAATGAGCCCTCTATCCAAAGGTGATGATACCCAATAAGGTCTAGTGAGCTTTGTGACATAGGAATAACTTGTTACAAGTGGTCTATACTAGATGGCAATTGTATGGGATGTACTTTTAAGCAAGTTGCAGTACCTCTTAATCGGGATCAGAGACTTTAAGAAGTTACTTAACGCGAGATCAAACTTGTCTTATTTAGGATATGCCCTTTACTAACTCTCTAACTACCGCACATTAATAGTAAAAAAAAATGTATAGAGGAAACTTTTATATAGTCATATTTATAGAGATCACATAGAATTATGATTGTATAAAGGTTAACCACTTCTATGTATTTTTTTTTTATTAGATTATGTAAAACATATGAAACTGATAAACTATTGAGAATAAGAAGTATACAGATAAATTGAAATGAATAATGCAATTACAAAAAATCAATCCACCTTTTGTATATCAACTAGCATAAAAAAACTTGTAATAGTTTTTGTTTTTTACTTTTTACAAGCTTCTGTCGCATAATATCCATATATTTTCTAAAAATACGCATTTCTTTCATATTAAATTCTTTGTTATCTTACTCTTCAAAATATTGGATTCATGTTTTAAGTCTATTAAAGTCTTCTTGTGTTGTTATTACCAAACTTTCATTGCTAAATTCGCTATTATCTAATTCAACTTTATTATGTTCTTCATCTAAAACTAAACGTATAATTTCAATATCAGTTAGTGCTTACTCTGTTAAAATTATCAAGTTAATTGTTTCTAAATATTTATTCAATTCTAATAAAAAAGATTCATCTTAAATAGACGAAAATCTTTGCAAAAGATCTTTAATAATCTTTTGATTTTCTTGAATTGCTAATTCATTTTGTTAAATATCATCAATATCATTAATATCATTAATATCATCATTATTAATAGTTGGTAAAATCCCAGTTTTTCACTAACAATTAATAATTGTCTCTGCTGTTACTAAATCCCAAGCTTTTGCAACATATTCTATAGCTTTTTTAACATTAATTTTATTTCTAAAAACAATTTGTTTTTTTATTAAATAAATATAGTATTTAAGAAATTAATATAATAAATACATTAAATTAAATACTTATTTTTTTAAATCAACATTTGCTTCAAATTGATAAAGAATATGTCATATATAATATTGCTTATAAATTGCTTTAAAGCTTTTAATAATTCTGATATTCATAGGTTGCAAATAAGCTATTGTATTAAGTGAAAGAAAATGTACTCTAACATGTGATAAATTCAAATTACCACTTTTTTTAATTTCTTGATTATTATCCTTATCAGGATTGAAGTGAGATGATGCATTATCTATAAGTAACAATATTTTTCGATTTAGTGCTTAAAATATAATATTAATATATTCAAGCTATTCACCAAAAATATCACTTCTCATTCATACCTTTAAATTAGCATAATAATTGCATAGAAGGAATTTTTATTGATTCAGTAGAGACATCTAGGATTTTTTAAGAAACCAATTACAAGTGGTTTAAGTTTTTGTGTACCAATAGCATTTGTAGTCAAAAGAATGGTAATATGAGATTTATTTTAAAAAATTTGTGAAAAAATTTTTAAAACTTAAAAAATAACAATAATAAAACTCCAATTCAAAGTAAATGATTGAGTTACCTGTTTTGTTCTTGAAGTGGAGCTGATGCAAGAGTTTTATTAGATGCTATACGAAAAAAAAGATCAGTTTTATCAGCATTGAATATATTGTCAAGTGTGTAGTCTTACAAAATTTCTTGTAATTTTTTTCTTTCCTCAGAAAGAATTTCTAACGATGTACTATTTGCTTCACCATGTAAGCGATAGCTATGAATATTATTCTATTTCTTGAACTTTTCTATCCAACTATTTGAAAAAGATATCTTGTCGCATAGAATATTAAGTTCTTGTGCAAAAAAAAGCCTTTTCTTTAAGTAACATTTCTAAAACTGCAAGATTATTAGTATTTGCATTTTCAACTCATAAATCTAATGCTATCTCAATTTGAGAATATTTAACTTTTCTATGACAAAAAATTTTAGAGCTAGCTGATGTTGAAGTAATTACAAACCACTTAGCTTTCTTTCCTAAAATTTTGGAAACTGTTGAACGGTCAATATGAAGATTCTGATTTTACTGGTTAAAATAGTTAGCAATTTGTTATTGACTTTTATTTTTATTTTTGGATTTTGTAAAATATATACATATTTGTTGCTTTATGTTATTACTTATTGCAGAACGTGATCTTTTTGGACTTGAAACAACTGGCATTTTGAAATATATGGTGAGTGATTTTTGGTGGTTCTTTAATAGTACTTTAGGTAAGATAGCAGCACTTTTGATAGTACTTTTGATATTTTCTCCAAATGAAAAGTTTATTTTAAAAGTTAACAAAATTCATCACTAAAAAAAATGCGTGATCAAACTGACATATTTTTTAATAACATTTTTATTGACTATATAACTATATGGGAAATACGAAGAAGAAATTTAAACATTTTCTCCTGATATTTTTTTGTGATCAAATTTAGCTATTTATATTTTCTAATTAAATCATATGATATAATTATATAAAGGTTATTTGTAATGTTTGGACGCACATATTTGATGTGATTGTGATTATAACCTATTATGACTAAATAGAGGTCATTTCTTTAATTAAAAATTTTGACGCAAAAAACTTGTTGACTATATAGAGGTTGTGCTTATATAGAGGGTAACTATATAGAGGTATGACTGTAATAGCTCTTTTTTAACAAATTCTTTAAATGTAATTAGTGTGACTTTAAAATTTTGCTCATAAATCCAAGTTCAGCATTTTTTAACTATATTTTCATCATTAATCAATCTAATAGTTTTTTGATGTTTTCTACATTTAGATACTGGAAATTTGTTATTAACGTTAAATAACCAATAGTTTGCATAATATCAGATGCGTCATGCTTTTCATGGACTATCATCAACAAAAACTATTTTAGTTACTTTTAAGCTAACATGTATTTTTTCATTATTTAAGCAGATAAGATATTCAAAGACAGCTTGTTTATTATTATATTCAGTGATAGTCATTTGATTATATTGCTTTTCTATTGTTCTTTTAGATTTCGTATTTTTTTATCAGTTTGATAAGTATTTCTATTATTAACTTCATCTTCTAAATTGCTTAAAATTTGTTCTATTTCATTAAGTTATATATTTGCAGCTTGATTACTAATTTTAAAAAAATTTGTGATTTTTTTAGTATTAATAGCTACTTTGGTAAATAAACTGATCAGTCTATATTTTTCATAATAACTTGACCTTGAAGTTTTTTTCATTATGTATCGATTACATTTTGTCTTTTCTAGTTCACTATCTTTCTTTCATATTAATTTAAGGTTTTTATTTTTTAGGTTTTATATCTTCTTAGTATCATCATCATTATCTCAACTACTGTCTTTATCATTACCCATTCTTCTTCACTAAATTCTTTATCATAGGATTCTAAATTTATCTTGCTACCAATTGTTTTATCATTATTAAAAGATATAAAAATACTAAATGAACTGCTATCATTAGAAGGATCAAATGAATCACCATCATCAGGAGGACTGAACGAATCATCACCAGGAGGACCAAATAAATCACCCACAGTAATCACAGTAACTGCGTCATAATAACCAGCATAACTTTTTTATTATTCTTTTTTTTATAATTATTATTGATCAGAATTAAGGATTCGAATTGACTTTAGTGGTTATCTATACTTTGATATTGGACTTTTTAATATCATATTTACCGTCTACAATGTGATTTTGATTTATTAATTTTTGCTTTTGCTTAGAAAGAGGTGGCATTTTTAAATTTAATACAATAAAACACAATAAAATTATAAAATTGAAATGCGTTTAAGATAGTGTTTCGATATAAAATGTGTTTTCGAATTTAAGCACGTTTTCAAATTGATTCTTCAATTTATTAATTTAATTATTGAAACACAGATGTTTTTAGAAAAAAAAATTTTTTCATTTATGAATTTCTTTATTATGATACCCTTTATTTAAACTGCAGATATTTATTATAGTTTATACTTTTCTGTGATTAAATTACATTGATTGATTATAAAAAAGTAATTTGGTCGCCGGAAATTATATGAACTTCAATTTTATAAAATTATGTGATGGAACGATATAGTCACGTGATAAACTATGCATTTTTATTGGTCAAATTACAATTATACCCCTGTAAATACCCATGTAAAGTTAGTCTGAAATTGACAAATTATTAATAATATATCTAACTTTTAAACTCCGATAACTTTTTGAATAATGATTTAATTCAAAATGTAAGCCGATTTTTTGAAAGATTATAACATAAACTATAAGAAAATCGGTTTGTTTTTTTAATATTATTTAAATTGTAAGACTAGATACAATTTGAATTTATGTTATATTTTTGATGACTATAAATGTTGTGCACCATATGATAAAACAAATGTTTTTTGATGTTGCAAAAATATTTAACACCCCAATTATCGTTTTCCAATACTTTTGATAGTGTAGAATAAGAATTAGTATCTTTAAAAATACACTTATAATTTCCTGTCTTTAGATAATAATCATGTACTGTATATACCCTTTAAAAACACCAAAAAATTGACTTTCTGTACAACTAATTGTAATCCATACACTCCCAACATGTTTTGAATTTTGTTTTAATTTCTCCTTTATATGATAAACTAAAATTTGTCGCATCTCTTCAATTGCTCTTTCGGGCAAATCATACACAGTCGGCTTCATTGTATTAGCTTCTTAATTGTTATTACATGATTAGCTAAACCAGAATGCCTTTTATATATTTTCCCGCATATTTCACATTCGAACTTGTTGCAAAACGTATTATTTGACAACAAAGACATAGATACGCCGGTAATTGTCTGCAAATAAAGTTTTATTATTAAACGAAATACTATTATTTTTTATAAATGATATAATATTGGACGCGTTTTTAAAAATAAAAAAAGTAAATTATAGAAAAATATAATTTATTTCTTACGTAAAATTTTTGATCGGTTCCTTTTTTTTTTTTTTGATCGGTTGCTTGGTTTTTTACATATTAAAAATATTTTTATTCGGGGAGTTGATAAATTTAGGAGATATTTGGGGATCGGCTACATTTTTAAGCCACTAAAAACACGATTTATGGCCCAATTTTTCAGATCAGCCGATATGTAAATCCCGGCAAAAAATATTTATCATTTTGACCAATCATAAACGTTGATCACGATCAGCCAATGCTTTTAAGGAGACGCGTTTTAAGGAGACGCGACTTTTTTTTTTAACAAATCTCATTTTCACAAATCTCTTTTTCACAAACGATGTCTGAACGTCCATACGTCAGGTACAACGGTAAGTTCTATAACTTGCAATCTGGCTTTAATAAAAATTTATTCATTTTCTATTCAATACTTCTTAGCTTTGATCACTTTGATGTTTGTTTAGTTAAACCTATAATTAAGACGTTTAATTTACATTAAAAACCTAAATTTTTTACAATAGACTTCGGTGCAAATCAAGTTAAAAGAGTTTGCGTATAAGATAATTTTTCACGAGAGTCCCGAATGTATCCCGGAGGAATTCAATCCTCAAAACTCATGCTTTTGTGAAATCTGCCGAAATGAAATACTACCTCAACTTTTAAAACCAATCACCATCTTCACCTGTGGACACTTATTCCATCTAAACTGCAGTGAACGCAACCAACCTTTTTCAGAACCACTTTGTCCACTTTGTCCACTTTGTCGAGATCAAAACCATTATGATGACAACGCTGGTAGTTCTGGTAGCGCTTATGATAATGATGCTGGTAATGGCATTGGTTCCGGCTCTGGCATTGGTACCGACCCCCATCCTCCTGTCATTTCCGAAGTTGTTGATAACAATGAGAATAATAATAATAATGATAATAATGATGATGATAAAAACAACAATAATGATAATGATAATACAATAATATCATCATCATCTTCATCAGCAATATCAACAACAACAACAACACCACCTACATATTCATCTTCATCAGCAATAGCAACAACAACAACAACAACACCACCACCACCATATGGGAGGGTTTCTAGGAAAATCAGATTCCGAGAAATTTTTCACTTAAATTAAGAGCTTAATACATTTTAATCTAATAACATCAAAGATTAAAATGCAATAAAAATCTCAATTTTGTTAAAAAATTCCCGGAACCTGATTTTCCTAGCAATCAACCCATATAATCTTCGAAGTAAAAGAAAAAGAATATACGATTATGAATGTGTGAATAAAAACGTCGACGATCATCACGACGACCTTCACGACAACCGTCACTATCACATGATAATTTCGAAGATAATAATTATGACAATGGTAATGGTGATGACGTTAACAACAATAGCAATAACATCAATAATTCATGTATCGGATGTTCCATACCATTGTCCAGATTAATCCATTTTTTTATATTTTTATAATGTATTTTGTGTATAATATTCTTTTCGATTTTTTTATAATCAACTAGCTTTTCTTTTTGATCACCAAATATCATTTCATTTCTAATATCAAAAGAAATGTTACATATGGGAGAGTTTCTAGGAAAATCAGGTTCCGAGAAAATTGACTAAAATTAAGAGCTTAATACATTTTAATCTAATAACATCAAAAACTAAAATGCAATAAAAATCTTAATTTTGCTAAAAAATTCCCGGAACCTGATTTTCCTAAGAGAGGATTGTGAGATTCACGAAAATGCTAAAATTGAAAATAATAAAAGTTTGTATTATATAATCAAGTTTATTGTTCATCAACGATTACATTGATTTTAATTGTTTAGAGTAATTATGTTTTGTATTACTTTTTTAGAGTTAATGTTTGAAATATTATTTTATAGAATAGAATAAAGCAATTTTTTCTGATATATTGCTATCAATGATATATAATCGTCATTTTCGTTCATATATTTTTATTATATATTATATTATAAATCACATATATATGTATCAATACAGTATGTCTTAAACTTGAACATGTATTTCTTTCCGAATTTATTTATTGTGAAACAATGGGTTTCGCCTGGCTGTATTTAGTTGTTGATATATTATTAAAGCTGATCCTGATGACTGAAGAATCGTGTTTATCTCATGAATTATTTTCTCGTGTAATATGAATGTATATATTAATTTTTAATTATATAATTATTCTGATCATCACGATTTTTGTCACGTGCTTTATTCTAATTAAAATTAAATAAACCATTATCATTTATTTAGAAATGAACTGCAAGGATCACCCATTTTTTCATTGACTTGAAGCAAAAACTTGAAGCAATAATTCAAGCGATCAAATTAACGTTAAGAATAATTAGAAAAATATTTGTAAAATCATTTGATAAAATAGCCGGACAGTTTTTCAGTTATAATAAAACCTGCGGATTACGCGTTACCGCACCCAATCGGACCATCATAGATTTGCACCAGTGTGATTATTTAGGAGGAAAATAATCGGATCCAAAAGCTTTTAATAATCAAGTTAATAAATTTATGCTTACAAAAACTTTTTTAATTTGCATTAGTAAGTACTAGCAACTTCAAAATAAAGGACAACCGTTTAGGAACATATTATCGTTTCCTAACGATAATAATAACATGAATAAAATTAAAGAAAATGTATATTCTCGCTTTTAAATGAGGTCTTCGTTTTAGGAATAACTCGATTTAGAATCTGTGGCGCTAACCCCTGAAGATCTTGTATGGCGTTGTTATATATAAACGTAAATTACATATAATCTCAATTTTTTTTTTTTCGGATTTTTCTTTTATAAGAATGTTTGGTTTAAGTTTTAACACTTTTTTTTCTCCGGATTGGGTGAGTTTGTCTATGTTCTAATGGATTTGTACTTTGAAGTACTCTCGGCAATTACAATTAAAATTTTTTTTTTTTTTTTTGAATTTAGGCCGAATTCTTTAGCTCGCTCAGTGTAGCTGACGTGTAAGCAATTTTCTGAAAGTGCAAATTTCTCCAAATTTTTTTTTAATAAACATTTGATTATTTTATAGGATTGCTGGAATACCAGCCTTTCTCGTGTTTTACACAGTTCTACCTAGTGCTATATATACAGCGCGACATAGGAGTAGTAAGGGAAATTGGTATGCTCCACCAGAACCTACCGATGAATCACCTTCGATGCAAGCCAAATTGGTTAGTCATTCACGTCATTATTTCAAATTGAAATAGAAATAATATGTATTAAATAAAATTTATTTATTTATTTTTGATTTAAATAGCTATTATTAAATAGTTTGGCAGTTTTATTTTCCGTCAAATATATTGCGCAATATATATTTAATCATCCAGGGCCAGAAATTTTTGTGACAGGAGCATTGTTAACTGTAGTGGTAAGTAATTTATCGGTCTGTCAAATAATCTTTTTTGATCTATTTCTAATTTCATTCTTATTTAATGTAGTTAATTACTGTAGTCATATATCATTTTGAGAATATCGGAATTGTAAAACCAGCGATCCCACTATCTGTTTTATGGGGAACCACGACACTCACTACCTTATATTATACAACCTCAACTCATGATATTTCTCACGAAATATATCTCGTGTCTAGCCTGTTAATGTTTATGTTGGAATGGGCTTCTCCAAGGACACCCACGATCAAAGTAAGTTTATATCAAGATAACTTTAATAAAAAAGGAAAATTTGAAAATTCACTTTTTTTTTTTCATTATTTCATAATGAATAGGCCACCTCTACGAATCCAGTAACCAGCGTGAATCTCCCCGCAGCTGAATCTACAAAAGTTACAACTGCAGAAGAATCCGAACATTCAAAATCAGAATAATTAATTACTTTCAAACGATTATTATTATCATTATTATTTTATTTATTCTAAAGAAAACCCCGTGTTATTTAACTTGGAATAAACAACACGCTTAGCACTTTTAAATGTAGTTGTTTAAATTACGTACAAATATTAAGTCAACGTTTTTCCCGCACTTACCTTCCAAGATCAGCATTTTTTTTTTTTTTTTTATAAAAAAAAATTATTGTTACCTGCTTCCAAATAATAAAAAACCTTTTACCACCATACATATAGTAATCCTTTTTTAGTGTACTTGTCATACATTAAATAAAGAATCCTGAAGGTAATTTTGCGTCGAACCACGAAGGAATCTCACAACCCAACGCGTTTAATATAATGGAAGCACAATCCATATTAGTAATTTTCTCTTTAAGAACTTTCCATTTATTAAATCCGTTACATTTTAACCCCATGAAAACAAGAGTTTCATCATCAGATTTACCACCATGACCGTGATTAACACCACCATGATCCGTAGTAGCAATGACAAGTGAATCCTCTGACCAACCAGCTGTTTCGATTGCTTTTAAAATTTCACCAATTTGTGAATCCATCATAATCATTTGATTCAAATAATTTTTCGAGCCCCAACCATGAGCGTGACCATGTTCATCAACGTCTACTAAATGAATAAATAAAAATTCCACGTCATTATTTTGAGGGTCAAGTATGTAATTCGTTACTTTTGATACAACGTAAGGATCAAATGATGAATTCGATAAAATTTTTAACTTGATCCATAACCAAAAACGTATGAAAATATTTTCATTAATCTCCGGTGAATATTTATCCATATTAACGGATAATTCAATTATTCCCGTATTAATTGATCCCCAAGAAACGAATGATGCTAATTTCCTTTCATCATGATTTTGTTTTAAAAGTTTAAAAATGCTTGGGTACGGACTTTTTTCATCATATGGTTTTAAACCAACCTTATCATTAGTTAAACCATGTTTGCTTGGTATCACCCCGTGAAGTATCGATCCCCAATTTTCCGCACTATTTGTTGGAAATTGAGCTCTAACTTCTGACCCGAGGAACGTAAAACTATCGAGATTTGGTGTGTGAACCTTTTTATAAACGGTACCTAGACCGTCCAATGCCAAAAGTATCACGCGTTTATATGGTGGATAATTTTCATTAAATTCCTCAACAATGATTTCATGCATTTCGCTCTTATCCTTTTTTTTTTTTTTTTTTTCTTTCTAGTAACTGTAATTGGGAATCCACGTGTTAAACTTAATTTAGCATTTCGGATTTTAAGAAAACCTTAAAACCCCGCTCGGCTAGTTCTGTGCATCAAAAATTTCCATTTACGTTCGTGTAACTAGTAGACGCATAATAAGATCAACTTGATTTTTTTTTTTTTTTCATCATGAAAGGGTTGAACTTTTTGAACTTTAGGAAATTGGGAACAAGCAACAATTTATTTGAAAATATTTTCAAAGTACGTGTTATAATACCTCGACCCTTAACAACAACACCATCAACGACGAAAAATGACGCGAACTTGGTTGATAATCAAGATGATGATGATGATGATGATGTTTTGAAAACTCATCAAATCCCTGGTAGATACCTTCATTACTTTAAGAAAAGTAAAAGACAGTTAAAGAAAGAAGCTCGTGATGAATCCAAATTTGGGGACAACGCACGTATCTATCTAGTTCATAAATTCATCCCTTCTTCGTGAAATTTTTTTCCTTTTCTTTTTTTTTTTTTAAAAAAAAAAATATGATTTACTCTTTAAAATAATAGATCGTTACTAGAATTTCGGCACGTAAATTACGTTCAAATCATTCAATCACGGAGAGTACTAACAGAATTACTGATTCGAACGATGATGACAATTCTTCGTTAACATTTATTAAAGATTCTTCTAGCACGCAACAGAATATCATTCAAAGATTATCTCGTGCGATAATCAAATGCGATGACAATGTACCTCACAATTATTTAAGTTCCACTTTTGTTCGAATTGTTAATGTATGTTGAAAAAAAAAAAATCTATCATGTGTCATATGATATTGTTACGTGATTTTTCATGAAAACTTTTCCAACCTTTAAAATATTAGATTAGCGTATCACCCGAATCAAACATCGCTAACATCTGGTGGAAACCCGATCCACAAAAGGGAATTAACGAGGTAGGGTAGGAATAAATCTTCTTTTTGAAATTTTTCATTGATTCCTTTTAATACTTGGTTATGATTTTTTTCAACTGTCAAAAAAAAAAAAGTCAAAAATCGAAAATACAATGAACAAATACTCAATTAAATACCGGAAGATCCTACAAAACGCTTTGCACATGAGGAACCCACCAAAAATAGTTTTTTTACGTTATGATAAAACATTTGGAAATATAAATAAACTTTTAGATAAGATTGAAGAAGAATCAAGATAACAAGGAAATGGAAACTTTATTTAAGTTAAAACATCTAAATCAAGCATATATAATTTTTTTTTTTGGTTCGGACAAATTTATTACCCAAACAAATTTTCGGGTCAAATCTATGACCAAAATTTATTAAACTTGAAATGCTGAGCCGTGTAACATGCTTATTGTTACACGATAGATATTATATGAATAAATTATTCTACTTCAATTCCTCACTATATATATAATTTGTTTATGACAAAAAAAAAAATTTTTATGAATGTAAAAAAGTAAATAATAAAAAATTAGTAATTGATGAAAATTTGATTGCCATAACTAAAAATCTTATGATAATGATTATCTGATAAAAATTTGCTTGCCAAAAATTTTCCACCATTCGACCCTCGCTAAATAGATTTTTTAGATCTATAAATGACACCCTCCTATTAATATTTTAGTAATAGTAATTTTTTTTAAATTCAAGCAGAATTTCAATAAATATTAGAAAATTTTATTCCTTCTTAGATATCGTTATGACGGCTTAAAAGGTGCCGTTAGAGAAGTGTTCATTAAATATTAATATTATTATTTTTTTTTTTTTATTTTTTCAGTGGGAGAGGGAATAAAGGTAACTATAATTCATATTATGAATCAAGGAGGTGTTGACGATACAATGAGTCCAGAGGATGACCTATTATTATTATCCACTTCAATAACGCTACTTGGTCTTATAAATGCAATTGGAATTTCCCCCATGATCTCGCCCAGCGAACCATCATTTTCACGACCATTTTCCATATCTCTCATTTCTTTATTTTTTTCTGCATCATTCTTTTCCTCATTATTCACCACAGTCAAAATTGGCGTTGAATCATGATTATCCTGTGTTATTGACCTGTTTCTATCTAAATCCGCTTCTTCTGATATAGGCGTCAATCCATTTTCAGCACTTTCCGCCATCGCCTGTATAGTTGATGATATGAATTGTGATCTTTCTTCAGGTGACAAGTATGGGAATACAAATCCACGTACATCCACATCATTGTCTTCTGCAAGCCGATGTAACAAATCATTGATTTGTGAAGGTCGACTTGAAGGATTCTGATAATATTGTTCTTTATTAAACAAATTCGAGAATGTTAAAAACACGAGAATCGACGTAATAACATCATAGGATTCAATAAAGATGAATAAATACCCATTCGACATAATTTACCAACGAGTCTTGCCAATGCAATTTTAACATTTACCACTCGATCTGATGAAAGTTGCTTTAGATCATTTAAAAAGTACTTTTCAAATTCCTCTTTTGGATAATCTGACGAAATAAGAGCTTTGCAAATCTGTACAAAACTATTAATTAAAAGATATCAATATTGATATAAATACAAGTATAATAAATTGGAAATCATTGCAAATTAAACTTACACTACTCTGCCTCTAAATTTGTTATCAGAGGCGAACTCGCAAATTCGTTTTATCGTTTCCTTATAAACTGACTCATCGCTCCGGACGACTTGAAATAAAGTTGGAAACTACAAAAGAAGAAAGATCTAAGACGTTTTTTCAAATCGAGGAGATTTTGAACTTTATTACTCACACTTGATACAGTCGTTTCTCGAATACTAGCAACCTCGTCCCTGACTGCACGGATAGTTAAAGGCAATATATAATTTATTACATTTTGACAATTAAACAATCTACATAATGCCGGTATTTGCCTTGAATAAAATTTGATGGTACAGTATTAAATATTGTACTCATAAGAAACAAATGATTAAATATGTAAATTTAACATAGTTACTTGGAAATCTCGTCTCTCAAACGCCATTGATGACTTACTCCATCCCACACGTCATTTAATCTTGGTAAATAATCATTTCGAGTATTTTGTGGCAAACACTCAAAGAAATCTGCAAGATGTTCCAGGAGACCTGATTTGACCTCATCCATATCATTCAAGTAGAATGTAAAAACGGATAGCAAATCTTGATCTGTTTTTATGGGTCCAATTACTTTCGCAATTTCATGAAGTGAACAAGCCAAAGACCTTCGAACTTTGACCTATAATCGATGCAAAAGCATATATTAATTCATAAGTTTGATTAAAGCAAATCCATAATATGATCTATAAAGAGAGAGAAAAAAGGAAATAAAAATTATGATACAATTAGAACCTGCATATCTTTCGTTAAAGCAGCATATGTCTCCTTTAAATCGTCCCACCGACTTTTTCCCAGGGTTAAAACCACAGCTAGGTGGTAAAAGTTTAAATAAAACATTTCAAAATAAACTTTAAAATCCAAATGATATAATAACAAATATAAAATCTTGTATCTCCTAATGCTCACCGGGAAAATTATATGCACATATGACTGGACGTTCTGGATCTCTCTGACCAAGCCCAGTATTATAGGCACTACCAGATAAATTTGCGACACCAACTGTTGTTTCTCTAACAGGCCCCAAACCTAGGAAATGTTGCACCAAGCTTTCGGGTACGTTGTCATCAGGTTGGAAAGTGGCAATTAATTCACCGATAATTTCGCCAGCAGCCGATCGCACACTACGGCTTACATCTCCTGCGAAAAGTTCAATTCCTTTTACAGCTCGCTCGGCTTTCATCTCTTCTGGAAGGCGAGCGCAAATCGTAGGTAAGACTAGGCAGCAGGATCGACGTACGTGCCAAATAGGATCGATTGAGAAATGGTCGTATATGGGTAACTTTTGATATTATTGTTTGCTGAATATCAACAATCTGGTAATAAGTCTAACCAGGAAGCAAAAAAAACAAATAGCTTGCTATTTACCAATTTTGACGTAATTATATCCAAGGGTAAGACTCCAGCTAAATTTCCAACTGCGAGGGCCGCTTCCTGTATAACCGATTTAATTTTTATGAATTAATTATGAATCAATAAAGACCAATTATAGATCATAAGTCCTAAAAAAAAAAAAAAAACTACTCCACCTTCCGTACATAAAACACTGGTTCATCCGACATTTTATCCAATTCGGGAACAAATAAACGTGCACACCTTTCTGGTCCAACAATGGGTGCAAGGGCTGCTATCAACTATCAATAAAGGATTAATTATTTAATTTAATTTTAATTGTGATACTTAAAAAAAAAAAAAAAAAATGTGAATTATGTTTATCACAACGTACTGTCATCATGGTCATTCGCCCCAATTCGGCTTCTTCTTCGCCGCCAGCAACGGCGCCAACACTTGCATCATCATCTGCATCCCATTCGTTTACTTCCTCCCTTTTCGCCTTCTCCTGATCTAACCTACCTATGCCCAAAACGACGCCCTCTAACGTTTCCCTTTCCAACAATTCTTTCTCTTTAGGATTTACATCTGGCTCCTCTAATATCTTCTCGACTAGAGATTGAACGGCTGCCTGAGCTGCCGAAGCAATACTAGTGTTTTGATCGAGAAGAAGTATGTGAAGAAGAGGAGTGAAAGCTGCCGGAGATAAGTATGGTAAATGAGTTTGTGATTGTGCAGGAAGTTGCTGTAATTGCTGCTGTATCGGTGTTTGTGGTCTTTGAGGTGTTTGAGGTCTTTGTGGTGTAAGTGGTCGTTGAGGCGTTTGAGGTCTTTGTGGTGTCATTGGTCGAGAATTTATCGTTGTTCCATTGTCTCCCTGAGCGTTTTCAGGTGTAATATCTCTCAAAGGACAATGCTAATCCACAAATATAAAATGATTCCACTTAGAATGTATTCAAATAATCTGTTTGTAAGCAATAATACATACTGAATAATAAAACCATATAATTTTGTCTAATTCAGGTGCAAATGCCTCACGGACATGATCCTCTAAGTTTGATTAAAAAAATAACAAAAAAAAAAAAAATTAGATACAGTGTATAATAAATTCAAATCCTAATTGGATAATTCATTAATTATATGTCAATAAATAAACCTGGATCAGTTCCCAAAGAGTTCATTAAAGGTAACACGTATTCAACCGCTTCACTAATTTCCACATCTCTTATTAACGAGGGAAGTTCCTTTGCAATGAACACTCTCATAAAGAAAATACACGGAGTAGACCCAGATCGATTCGATTAATTAATTGGAAAAGATAGAAGCAAAATAAATGAATGAATCCAAATTAATATAAACTTACCTATGAAATACCAAATCACTTTTTACATATAAAAATATCTTTTCAAGCGGTGACAGAGAATCATCTAATAGAAGTTCCTCTTCCTCCATTTCTTCCGCCACGTCAGTGAATTGTTGTTCTATGAGGAAATCCAAGAAAAAGAATTGAAACTTTTGTAGATAATCATTTCATAATCTTTAGTGGATATCCTCAGTAGCCATGCATTTAGTAGTAGATTTAATGCAACAGCTTAACGGACGAGTATTCTATCTCATGCAAAAACAGTCTCAAGCCACTTAACAAATAATAAATGTTTACCAGGAGAATTCTCTGCCATCGCAGCTAATAGTTCTTCAGAATCCAGATCGTTATTATCATCAAGATTTTCTTCCCTTACCTGAAGGGTTGGGCCTTGGCTTTCTAATCCAAGTTCTAAAGAAATTATTTAAAAGTTGTGTTTTAAATGTTCATGGTATTGTGACAAATACGTAAACAAACTTAAGGAATTCAACAAGTGTAAATGCTAACACTCTTACCCGCCATTACACTTTGTTTAAATACAAATAATTCAGGCAATATAATAAGAGAATTTCTTTGCGATGGGTAAAACAATTAATTCTTTGCGGTCTCGATGAAAAATCGAGTTTGGTCAATTTTTTTTTGATGTAATGTGATGTAACGATTTTGGTAAATGGTGTGGCAACGTTTGTGGCTGTTGATACCAAAAAGAGGTTGAATCTTTTTGATCCACATTATATCAAACTCCATTTTTAGCAACTTATACAACTCCAGTTTTTTTACAAGTGGTCAATGCTCTTTAATTTTTGATCGTAGTTATTAAAAATAAATCGTTTTTTAACTAAATACAACAAACAACCGAGCAAATTTTTTTTTTTAAAAAAAAAAAAAAAAAGAAAAAGGTTGGACATGCATAAAAGAACAAAGGGGACATCGGATATTATAAGCAAGCAACATCTCGATAATCATGAAATTCATTTTTTTTATCTTTTGTTTTTAACCTAACATGACTTAACTTATTTTCCGTCTCATGAGTTTTGGCACCAACCATTCCTAAACCCATTCCCCATTCATTTTTTTGTTTTGTCATACTACTTCTGATTCTCCATAATAAACCTCCAAACCCTCCGAATCCATGATATAATACCGCTTTACGACTGGGTGCGGGTATAATATGTTTTACATGATGTTCTAAAACCAATCCACTTTTAGGGTCAAATTTATACATAAAGATACCTGAAAACGTTGATCGTGGAATTCGCATTCCACGAGAAGAAAACATTGATATAAGATAGAAAGACCTGGGCGTGCCCTCAAGTGTCCAACGAATATAAAGTCGGGTGTTTCTATCTGATGGTGGTAACACAGACGTAGAAAAATATGATCCTTTATGTTGACCCTTTGATTTCTTTATATTTCCTCTCATCCGGGTAAAAAATTTATCATTTATCACGCCTTTAAAATAAATATCTTGATCTGATCTATCCTCATCAATGCTATTTTCAACGGTGTGAAGCTTAATTAGTTCTAATGTCAGATCATCAAAATACCATATTAGACTCCATCTCAATAAGTTAGCAATGCCTAAATAAATATGCTTCCCGCGTACGTGAAGACGTGTATGATGAGGATCCGTTAGTAAAATGTTTGGCGAATAGATTGAAGTGTCAGACAGACCATTTCCAAAAAATAATGGCAATTCGGTTCGTATTGTACGAATTGCTTTGAAATATTAATGAATCGATCAGAAATTCGGGAAGACAAAATCTTTTAAGAATAAAAAAAAAAAAAAAAACTAAGGAGAAAAGAAATATTTCGAATTACCTCTGCCAACATTAAGTGTATATTCATCTGCTCCCTTTGGCTCATTTTCCGTTTCATTCTGATTTAATGATTTTTCATTTTTCGTTGTAAATTTATCGTTTTGAATACTTTCCATTGTATGTTCCAAAGGTATACAAAGATTTTCTTGAGAAGTTCTACCGTCAATTATATTTAACTGTGGTGAAATTGTTGAAAAAAAAGAACTTATGCTTAACAACGACTTCGAATTATTGGCAATTAACTTTGTTTGTAACTTTTTGTGCACACTTGACTCAAAGTTTGTTCTACATGTTCGAACATTTGGAGACAATGCCTTTACAATTTTATTTGAATCACCAAATAATGCGCGTATACTTGACACTAATAACATGGTAAAAATTACAAATAAACTTGGATAAATTTCAGGGTATTAGTAATAGATGTGATAATACTTTTGTAGATTACAAAAAGAATTTTGATTGGCTCAGTGATTTGTAAAGTCACGAGATTTTAAATTATGAATTTGATAAAAAAAAAGTTTAATCATTTAATTGATCATTCTTCGCCTGAACCGACTCATCATCATCTGCCTGATCGTTGTAATATTTTTGCCTTTCACCATGTTTCACTATAGCGCTTTCAGGTATGACTCCTTCAGGATTAAGATATCCGTAGTCTCGTCCTGTATGTTGATCAATCGCATTAAGCCAGTTTTGGAAGCTATTGCCCAAATTATTAATAAGAAAATTCCTATTTCAGTATAAAAATTTACGTGCGAATTAAGCAAGAGAATCGAAAATTACGTGTTCTCGGCAAGTTCCTCTTCAAAAATCTTGGAATAAATAAATCTATCTTTAAATTTATCGATTTGACCCTAGGACGCGTTCACATTGAATAATAATTTTATTAAAAATATATATATATATATTTTTTTATTATTATAAGACTATGTAAGAAAATATTAATAATTGATGATGTTACCTGATATATATCATAATCGATCACCTCTTTTCCTTGATCTTTGGATTTTCTGTTATAAGAATTGAATACAGGCTTATTTTTTTTTTTTTTTAAAAAAAAAAAAAATGTTTCCATTAGAATCAAAAATGAAAATTTCGAGTTTATATTAAAATTGTAACTTTTTTTTTATTTACCCGTTCAAGTAACAAACCTAATGCTGGAGCTTTTGGTATATTTATCTTGACTTGTGTGAATGTATTTGCAATGAGGGAGGTAGGTGTTCCCGTTCTTACGATCATCACTATTAATGCTTTATATAAAAATGAATTGAATTAATAAGAAATTTCATAAATTTATTCGAATCTTGTAAAAAATACTTACAAACCATTTTACGAATTTGATGCAACATAAATGATTGCCCATGTACTTTCAAACTAATCCACTCAGTATCATTAATCATTTTAGGATCACCTACCTAAAAACGTTACGATAATTTTATAGATGGTAATTTAAACTGTAATATGCAAAGTCGAATAAATGATGACGCTTACTTGAAAATTGACAATATATCGATTGCAACTTTTCTCCTGTGGGTTACGACCTATTGTGAAGTTGTGATAGTTATGTGTGCCCTCGTATGCTTTAAATCCTTGTCTCACATACTCCAAAGTTTCTTGTGATATACGATATTTTCGCTTCTCGATCATTTCTTCGGTCGTGGCGAGAGGAAAGTCTGTGAAAACATTAACGTTTTCATTTGACACTACCAAATTGGACTTTTGCTCAGGGGGCATGAACACATAAGTTGGTAACAGATATTCATATATACGGGAATCACATAGAGTCTTGGCGTGAAAAGAGCGAATTACTTTGACGTATCCTATCAAACAATAGTCGAAACTATTAATTTACTTATAAAAAACCTCAAAAAGTCAATAAATATAATCTATTATTACCCCATATTCGTATTTGATCAGGAAGATTTTCGTTAATCTTCTCGACGATATTAGGAATATCAATAATCATGTAAAAACATCAAATGAAAGAAAAAAGTTTATAAATTTGATTTGATATATTTTAAGGTAATTAATGAAGTATTTACTGTGTAAGAGACTTATCTTAAGTGAAATTAAATTTCCAGCTGCATGAACTCCTTTATCAGTCCTGGCAGCACGCATCAAACTAACCTGTTATCACATTATATCATTCTTAGAAATTTCTAATAAAGCATAACATTTTCGGAGCGAATTAACCTATTACGTACTTTTTTAGGATCATCTGAGTTGTCTTTTGATACAGCACCAGCAGCGACAAAGGCCTTGAAGAGATCATCTTCAATAGTCTTCGCGTTGTGATTGCTACGAGATTTAAAATGTGTCAATTACGATGTAATACGATAAAAGAAATCGCAAATTTCATTGACAAAGTTCCAATTCATCCACATACATTTGCATTCCTTGATAACCAGTCCCACAAAAGCCAACTAAGACGGCAACTTTCTTCTTTGGCATTCTCGGTTCTTTTGGTTCATTCGAATCTTTATCATCACCTTTGCTTTCTAGTAATTCTTTATCATCACGATTGCCTTTCCTATTTATAAAGTTCCTATGACGATGTTCTCTCCTATCTTTAGCTGTGGTAAAACGCTTTTTTGAATGATGCAAATTTTCCGAATTGTCTATCTCACGTTTTAAAGGTGTTACTTCCTCGGTTGAACCAGAAGGAATTGCAATTTGTACTGCTTCCAATTATATACACATTAAATGATTCGAATATTATTAGATATTTAAATTTAGCTACAAAAAAAAAAAAAAATTCTCTCTCCAATACCATTAATCGACTCTTTCATTAATTTATCCGTTGGTGTTGTCATCGCTGTCAATTTTAAAAGTATGTTTTGATGAATTCTGTCAATATTGCAACCGTTTTGTTGAATAAAACTTCTAAATTTGAAAGAATTTTGCAATGATAGAATATTTATAAATCTTCGGAAAATCATGTTGTGACGTTTATGACATGCATAATTTTGTAACACCCTATAAAATATCGGTATATAAATCGATCAAAAAAATTTCAATTTTCAATTTTCAATTTTGACGGTATAATGGACACCACTTCTATCAACCGTTCAACTTCAAACTTAAAAATATTACCAATCATAGCTCGCAGGGTATCAGGTAATGTATAAATCCTTTTTTAATAATAAAATCTTATGAAACTTATTGAATAATAAAAAATTTATTAGGTAAAATATGGAAGCATCCAAAGAAAGCAACTCACCGTTCACAACTAGCGCGCGGTTTGCGTAAAAGTTGGAACGAAAGGTTAAAAGAACGAAACGAAAAACAGGCTTTAAAGATGTTAGAAAAAGAATTGAAGGATGAAAAGGAAGCCGAGAAAAAGGTAATTTAAATCAATTTAGACTAACTGAGTATATGCTATGATAAGTAATCGATTTATCTATTTACTTAGAGAAAACTTGACGCTGCTTTGAAAAGAAAACAAGCACTGGAAGAGAAGGAAAGACAAGAAAAATTAGCTGCTATTGTAAGTCAAATCACTGTAAAACGTTGAATGTTATAAAATACTTGTTCTAACTGTTTGTTTATAGTATTCGGCAAAAAAATTAAAAAGGCTTCAAAAGAAACAAGGGAAAAGAAAATAATTTACGGGGGGATTCGTGATTATTGATGCGAACAATACTATTTTTTCTATATATTATGTAAGAAAACATATATAAAAAAAATTTTTTTTTTTTTCGCGATTGATCTCACGTGAATATTAATTAATTAAAAAAGTTTTTTTTATCGGAAATTGTTCATGCTTTTTCTTATTGTTGCCTTAACTTCAAAGTTACACATCCACAACATGTCACACGGACGCGGTTTATCGGCAAAAAGCTACTGCATGTATGAACTATAAAAACGCCTAAAAAAAAAAATTTCGCTCGCCTTTGCTTAATAACAATGTCTTCAAAGGATACTTCGTTGATTAAGGACGTACTGGGCAAAAGACCGTATGTCGAAAACGCCGAAATTGAAGACAATAGCCATAATCAAATGCACCCTCGTAACAGATATAAAGATAAACCTCCAGATTTCTCTGTTCTTGCCTTTAAATATTCTTCCTTTTATCCATTGTAAGGATTTTTATATTTTTTATATTTATAATATCCTTAAGGTTAACAAATCTGATCACTCGTTATTTGTATTTATAGTGTACATTATTCTAAAGAAGGTAAACCTTATATTGACTATAAGAATCCAGAGGCAGTTCGGTAAGAAATTATTCCCTCATAACCTTTTTATTAAATTAAATTTTTACGAAAGTCAATGAAAATTTTTTTTTTTAGAGAGCTTACATATTGCTTATTACGTGACGATTTTAATCTAGTTCTAGATATCCCCTTAGACACTTTATGTCCTCCGGTAATTAACTTTCTTTGTGATAATTCTTCATTTATGTAAAATGCCTAATTTAGCCATACAATATTCAAATTCTTTCAGATTCCAAGCAGGTACCTTTTTAAATCCAATAATGCTCACTATATTGGAATTCGGTTGTCTCACAATCTATTTGTTTTGAATTAAAGACTGAATTATATCCATTGGATAGAGGATTTAGTATCATCGACAGAAACTCATGAAGATTTGGACCAAAATACTATTTATGGAATCGATATGTAGGTATTTTAATTAATGTTGATTTTTATTTCTTCTGAATTGAAAATCAATATATTCAAGTTGATTTTTAGTGGTACTGGAACGTCGTGTATATATCCATTACTTGGATGTACGTTGAACAAGAACTGGGCATTCTTGGCTACTGGCAAGTATATGAATATAGCTCGCTCAGCATATTTAATAAAACACAACTTATAACACGTAATATAATACAGATATTGATAAAAAGGCTGTTGCATATGCTAAGGAGAATGTGTTGCGAAATAACCTGGATGACAGAATAACAGTACATCAAAACAAGTCAGACAAGAAAATCCTTATGAGCGAGAGCATGATTAGAGACAGCACTCTAAAGTGAATATCATTTTTTCTGCTTATCACTTGTTATCATTTATTTTTATTCTCACATTTTTTCCTTGATTTAGATTTTCATTTTGTATGTGCAATCCACCATTTTATGAGAGTCAGGAACAATACGAGAGAGGTGTAGAGAACAAAAAAGCCAGTCCTCATTCGGTATTAACAAGTTTCTTATTAAAACAATCACAAAAAGGAGACTCATTAAGCATTTCATTATTGTTAGGTTTGCACTGGATCATCTAATGAGATGTTCACACCAGGTGGAGAATTTCAATTTATTAAGGATATTCTAGAGGAAAGTTTGACCTTACGTACAAAGATTCGGTATGTAATAATTATAAGCTTTCGATTTGAACTTATTCAACATATCATTAATATTTGATTAAAACTTTGAATTTAGTTGGTATACATCCAAGATGGGACGCTTAGAAACGGTAAATAAAGTAGTTCGTGAACTAAGAAAATCTGGAGTATGTATTTCCTCTTAATAATAGTATTTGAATATATATTTATTAGAATCCAAGCATATATTTATTTTTATTATTATTATTATTATTACCATTACAACTTTTTGAATTTAAGATAGATAATTACGTAATAACTGAATTCTGTCAAGGGCTTACTCGGAGATGGGGGATAGGATGGTCATTTGGAAGTCAACGTCCAACTTCTGTAAGAAAGTGATTTTGAATTTTAAAAAATTAATAACAACAGCTTAATGAAATTAATTTTCGATTGGATTTTTTAGAGTGTCTCGCAACCGACCTCCAAAAAACTTCGGAGGTCAGCACCACCAAAAAATGAATTCTGTGTTGTTTTACCAGCAAACATTGAAGACCTTTTGGAATTTCTACAACAACTTTTCGATGAATTGGAAATTAATGGACAATGGAACGGAGAAGCTAATACATTCTATGGTATTGTACAAATCAATACATGGTCGCGTGCGGCTAGAAGGGCTAAACATTTCAAACCAGATGTAAAGGAACCTCCTATAATGTGGAAGGCACCTGAAAATGAGAATTTATTCGAGTTCACATGTAATATCGAACCTTGGGATGTAAGTACTAGTAATACAAGGGTAACGGTTTCATGGACAAATGGTAAAGACAGGAACATATTTGAATCATTTTATAGTCATATTAAAAAACGGTTAGAGCAAGAATTCTCTGCCGATGAGTAAATTTGAAATCTTTATATAGTTAAATTCTTTCATGTATATTATTGTTACAACATCTGCTAATAAAAGAATGTTATTTTTTGGCGATAAACACTATAAAATATAACCTTCGTTAAAGATACACATTTAAGACCAATTATGTTATAAATCTACTAATAACGCAACTGAGATTTCTTCTGTGTGTATATGGCAAGGTGGATGATGATATAAAGTCAATATATGTGTATTTCAATTCTAGTGATAAGTAAAAATTTTTTTTATAAACAATGTTCATGTGTATTAAACAATGAAGATGTAATATTTATGTAGATCATAATTATTCATAAGGGGGCATCCTTAACCTACACCGGAGGTGTAGATGTTTAACCTGCGCTGGGGGTGTACAATAAGTTTTAACGAATTTT